TCTTGCATCGGTGCCGAGCTCATGGCAGTTGGAGACACTTTAGAGGAGAGGAGACAGTGGGGCGACGTGATGAGATGGCAGATTTAGTGGGCCGTTCTTTTCTGGAGGAGGATCGGCGTTGGTTGTCGAGCAGTGGATCTGGTATTCGGGCTTCGACACGATTGGGCTATCTTATGAGGTTGCCGACTGCTGCGTATAGAGTTGTTAGATCTGGTGGAGCTGTTTCAGATTTTGGTCGGCGTCGGATATTTGGCTACCCAGCACTTGGTCACATCGTTGATGTGAGATTGGATCCTATTGTGCATTTGGGATTCAGGAGTTCATTCGGCTATCAGTGGGGAGCTTCTGAGTTTGGTCTGAGCAGGTTTGTCACTTTGGACTCTCGGCAGGTGGAGAGTATTGATCAGATCAGAAGGATATCGCAGCGGGTGGAGGTTGATGCTACTCCACACCACGTACTCCAGGTCATTCTGCATTGGTTGGGATTCCAGCTGAGGTGGCACAGCGTGGGAGTCATTTATTTATGGGTGCAGATGATGAGGTAGTTGATTTGGATGCAGCTGATGGATATGTTTTGAATACGGCCATTGTTACATCTCAGGTGGAGGTGTTGGACTGTTTTCAGATTGGGGTCGTTGATGATGCTATCAGCCGCAGGTTGGATTGAGGGCTTTTGGAGGCCATTGGGTGAACTACGTGAAGGCTTGATTCCTTGGGCAAGAGGATACATAGGCAGTCTTTATGATGCAGCCGATTTGGTGAGCGACATCGACATTTGGGGTGAGTGTTCGCACTCCCATTTGGGTCTCAACAAGTGAGACATTTGGTGTAGTCGGTGTAGGCTCATTTCGATTTGGTGAGTAGACACAGTTGGTTTTGGGGTTGAGTGTTCACACTCCCGTTTGGATCTCGACGTATTGTGAATGGAGTCCGTTGTCATGAGTCCGTTGCCATGGCGTACTAGATGCAACAGTTGAGGTATTGGTTTGTTCGGTGTCGGCTCAGATTTGGGAAATCTTCGCCGAGGTGGAGATTTGAAGAGATGAGCTCAGGTTCAGATTTTGAGGCAAACAGGTTGGCGGTCGACCGGTCCGGTCGACCGCATTCGTGCACAGAAGCTACTGGGCATTTGGATCAGGGCCGGTCGACCGCCGCGGTCGACCGACGACTCTCTGGACATTGGAGCAAGCCGCTGGATGGAGGGCGGTCGACCGGGCCGGTCGACCGAGATGGATCGCGGTCGACCGTACCGGTCGACCGACGCTGCGGTTTTGAGTTGGGCCTGTTTTCAGACCCGCTTCGTTTTGGATTTGTATAAATACCCATTGGGTGTTTTTTAGGGTAAGAGCAAGGACGAATTTGAGCAGATTGAGAGAGTTTTCTTTGGGCTTCTATTCTAGGAGCAATTGGAGAGATTGAGAGTTGATTGTTGAGGGTTTATGAGAGATTTGTAACCCTAGTTTGTTCCTCTTGATTTCTAATAGTGAAAACTCCCCCCTCCTTGCCCCGTGGACGTAGGCATCTTGCCGAACCACGTAAAACTGGTGTTTGATTGTTTGTGCTATTGATTTGACATTGATGAAAAGGTTTGGAATAAAATGAATAGAACGGCGTGTGGTGTGATTAGGTCTTGCCTTACCCAAGACCTTAAATATGATGTGATGAATGAAACTTCGGCAAAGAAGATTTGGGAGGTCCTAGAGGGCAAATATTTGACGAAGAGCATCGAAAATCGTTTGCATTTGAAGAGGAGGCTTTATCGCTTCCAATTGAAGAAGGGGACATCCATTAGTGATCACATGAACCACTACACGAAGCTACTTGCAGATTTGGCGAATGTAGATGTCAAGGTTGAAGATGAGGACAAGGCATTGTTGTTATTGAGTTCCTTGCCCGACGAGGAATATGAGACCTTCGTCCTCACTCTTATTAATGGAAAGGCATCACTTTCGTATAGTGAGGTCACCGCAGCCCTTGTGAATTATCAACTTCGAAAGAAGGACAAGGAGACTTCCATCGAGCCGGTTGCTGGTGCATTGGTTGCAAGAGCTAGAAGTCCAAACCGTGGAAGAAGGTCGCAGTCTAGAGTGGGGCATCCTGCAGTTGGTAGGAATCAGTGTGCGTTTTGTAGAGAGGATGGACATTGGAAAGCTGAATGCCCAAAATTGCAAGCTGTGAAGAATAAAGGGAAAGCTATTCAAGCTTCAGAGGTGAATATTGCCAAGGCTAGTGGCGATATTTCAGATTCAGATTCTTCGGGCTATTCGTGCCCAGCTCTTCCGTCAGATGGTGTTGCCGACTCCACCGAGTGGATGTTGGATTTTGGTACTACTTACCACATATGCCCTAGAAGGGATTGGTTCTCCAGCTTTCAGGAGTTGGAAAGAGGGGATGTTGTTCTCATGGGTAATGATCACAGATGCCCTATTGGTGGTATTGGTACCGTTCAGATTCAGATGAGTGACGGGATGATCCGGGAGTTGTCTGATGTGAGGTTCGTTCCTCAACTGAGGAAGAACATCATTTCACTTGGGGTATTGGAGGCATCAGGCTATAGGGTGACCTTGGCGAATTCTCACTTGTAGGTCACATCGGGGTCCATGATTGTGATGAAGGGCGTCAGGAGGAGTAACTTATATTATTTGCTTGGGAGCACGGTGATTGATAGATCTCTGACGACTTCATTGGATTTGGCTAGACTGTGGCATTGGTTGGTGCTGGGATATATTGTTAGTTATACCGTGCACAGATTGTTGAGGAGTGCTATGACCTGCAGATTGAAGTCCTATGAGCACATTGGTATGAGCGAGAAGACCGAGGTGGAGTTCAGCACTTCTATCCATCGATCGAGAGGTCTTATTGGAGGTGTTCAGTCAGACATTTGGGGGCTTTCCGAGGAGGCATCATCGGGAGGTAATCGTTATCTTGTTTCCTATGTTGGGGATTGTACTAGGCATATTTGGGTTACAACCAAGTCCCGTTGGTATAAAGCCCTAGTAGTCCGCAACAGTTGGAGGAGGTGTATGGGCAGAAAGGTTACCAGTCATACTTATTCTAGTATGAGTCCTTTCTTGCATCGGTGCCGAGCTCATGGCAGTTGGAGACACTTTAGAGGAGAGGAGACAGTGGGGCGACGTGATGAGATGGCAGATTTAGTGGGCCGTTCTTTTCTGGAGGAGGATCGGCGTTGGTTGTCGAGCAGTGGATCTGGTATTCGGGCTTCGACACGATTGGGCTATCTTATGAGGTTGCCGACTGCTGCGTGTAGAGTTGTTAGATCTGGTAGAGCTGTTTCAGATTATGGTTGGCGTCGGATATTGGGCTACCCAGCACTTGGTCACACCGTGGATGTGAGATTGGATCCTATTGTGCATTTGGGATTCAGGAGTTCATTCGGCTATCAGTGGGGAGCTTCTGAGTTTGGTCTGAGCAGGTTTGTCACTTTGGACTCTCGGCAGGTGGAGAGTATTGATCAGATCAGAAGGATATCACAGCGGGTGGAGGTTGATGCTACTTCACATTGGGTGGGGATTTTCCCACGTACTCCAGGTCATTCTGCATTGGTTGGGATTCCAGCTGAGGTGACACAGCGTGGGAGTCATTTATTTATGGGTGCAGATGATGAGGTAGTTGTTTTGGATGCAGCTGGTGAATATGTTTTGGATACGGCCATTGGTACATCTCAGGTGGAGGTGTTGGACTGTTTTCAGATTGGGATCGTTGATGATGCTATCAGCCGCAGGTTGGATTGAGGGCTTTTGGAGGCCATTGGGTGAACTACGTGAAGGCTTGATTCCTTGGGCAAGAGGATACGTAGGCAGTCTCTATGATGCAGCCGATTTGGTGAGCGACATCGACATTTGGGGTGAGTGTTCGCACTCCCATTTGGGTCTCAGCAAGTGAGACATTTGGTGTAGTCGGTGTAGGCTCATTTCGATTTGGTGAGTAGACACAGTTGGTTTTGGGGTTGAGTGTTCGCACTCCCGTTTGGGTCTCGACGTGTTGTGGATGGGGTCCGTTGTCATGAGTCCGTTGCCATGGCATACTGGGTGCAACCCGCGATGGATCGCGGTCGACCGTACCGGTCGACCGACGCTGCGGTTTTGGGTTGGGTCTGTTTTCAGACCCGTTTCGTTTTGGATTTGTATAAATACCCTTTGGGTGTTTTTTAGGGTTAAGAGCAAGGACGAATTTGAGCAGATTGAGAGGGTTTTATTTGGGCTTCTATTCTAGGAGCAATTGGAGAGATTGAGAGTTGATTGTAGAGGGTTTATGAGAGATTTGTAACCCTAGTTTGTTCCTCTTGATTTCTAATAGTGAAAACTCCCCCCTCCTTGCCCCGTGGACGTAGGCATCTTGCCGAACCACGTAAAACTGGTGTTTGGTTGTTTGTGTTGTTGATTTTGGTTGGTTGTTTATCTTTCTTGGCGATTGTTTTGGTTTCTCAAGGCACAACAATTACATGTGACCTTACTGCTCAGTAATCATGCATCCAACATGGATCGTAGAACTTGGTTGAAGCCACACAAAAAAAAAACACACACACACACACAACCTTTTGTGCCTTCAGTTGATTAATCACCCTAAGGTTTTTTCATGTTTTCATATGTGTAGTTTATAATATCTCTCTCTTTGGTTAGTAGAAGCTAGGATATTGTTGAATTCCACTTCTACAGGAAAGGGCGACTGTTTCATGTATGACAAAATGGTGCAGTGTTGTAGTTGAATGAACTTTTGAGTGAAGGTATCCGGTGTTTGCTTTTGCATGTAGACATTGATCCATCTTCCATATTTACATTGGCTCGTTAAGGATATCTTTTGAGATTGTTTGTATGTTGATTTCCTTCTCCCCGTATTCAATACATTTTTTGGTATTATCGTGCAAATGACTACCAATTGTTAGGGGATCTAGTGAACTCTTATGTTTTACTTAGATAGCAAATGGCAACTTGTATGGGTTGCTTGGATAACCAAGGGTGACTTGTATAAATTTTCTTCAGGAATCACTGTGGGTTTAAGAAATTGGCTTCGCATCACTTTTGCCGTTGATCTGTCCTCTCTTAGTGTCGGACTAGACCGATTGAAATCCTTCTGCCTCAGACATGCGAGACTGAAACAGTAAAGTAGAAGCAGCAGCACAGGTGGATGTAATTGGGTCCCTCTTTTTGGTTCACTTGTCTCAGTATGTGCAGTATGCACTTCATGCTAAAAATAAAGTTGTAGATTTATGAAGAAGGCATGTAAACATGCATCACGTAAATTCAAATTACTTTGCAGGAAGAAAGTTTCCATCTTTAAAGTTGACTAGTACGAAATAAATTATTCAGCTTTCTTCTGGAAATATTTATGCCTCTGGCTAGCAAATCCTCCTGGCAATAGAAAATACATAAGAGTTTGCCAAGAGTGAACAATGAACTGAGCGAAACATTAATTCATGGTTAATTGCTGCTCTGAGATGTTTCGATACTTGAATGTTTATATTTGTTTCAGCCATACAGATTTTGAGTTATGTGTGCACCATAACAAGCTTCGTATGGTTGTTACATGAACATGTCGTGGCAGGTTATTTTCATAATGAGGCAAAGCTGACTTGTATGATTATTGATGTGCATGATTTGCTACAAGGAGGTGAATTTCGCTGAATCTAATTTAAGCATTCAGAGCAGTTAATGACGGACTAATCAGAAATCTAACAACGGAGCATAGGGGTCGCCAGCCTGACAGTAACCATAGGTACAATGTGCACACAGGCGAAAGGGCGCGTGAATTTTCTGGTGGTGGATATACCATTCATCTTGAGCATCCTGGTAGATATGTGCCACGAATTATTTCTCCCTGCCACCGGATAATGCAGTTAGCGACCTTCAAAAGTTGTTGAAGAAGATGTTGCTTGGTAGGCAGGAGATGGAGAACCAAGGAATGAGTTAGCGACCTTCAAAAGTTGTTGAAGAAGATGTTGCTTGGTAGGCAGGAGATGGAGAACCAAGGAATGTTTTCGCTTATATTTTGTTCAGAGTAAGAAGATGTTGCTTGGTAGGCAGGAGATGGAGAACCAAGGAATGTTTTCGCTTATATTTTGTTCAGAGTAATCTTCATCAACGTTTACTAGTTGCTATAAAAGAATCATGTATTACTGCCAAACATGGTGTCGGACATAGATATGTCCATGAATCCGGCCTCTGCTTCCGCTGGATCTTCCCATGTTAAGAGCCGGCCACCTGAAGACATATCTTGGCAACCCTTCCGTCTTGTTATTACACTTGGTATGAGTCTTCAAACAAATAGATTTGGGATTGTGAGAAATTGGATTGTGAGAAATTGGAATTAGTTCAACTTAAAACTAATTCACATAAAAACTAGTCTATTCTAATCTCAAGTTAAACGTAGCTAGTCCAAAACTAAACCAGGCTAGTTTTTTAGTTGCCAGACCTACCATTAGTTACCCCTCAAGTTCCAACCACCACCATACATTTAATTACTATATATCCAGAAACGGATCCATCCAAAGTCATTGTCATCTCTCAAAAATCATTGCATTCAAATAAATTCTATCGATCAATAACGTCCCTCTTTCATCTCTAAATTGGTCCCCTCCGTGACCTGTACAATTCAGTAGAGCCAAACGAAGAAACGGGAAAAATATATAGTTGGCACGATGTCGCAATCTGCAAGCTAATCCTCAAAAGCTTTGTTTGTGCAACGGAAAGCATAGAAAAAAAAGTATATAATAAGCTCTACGTGCCCTTTTCTTCGCACTTGGGGAGCAAAAGCTCATTTTGGTAGCATTTTGATTCATTACAGCCTCACTCGTCGCTGTCTCGGCGAGTTAGAGGGGCCATGTGCCCGTCGTGCTTAATACAGCGAACAGCCGTTACGAGTTAAAACTGTGACCAGCTGGAGTTCGATTAATTCCGGTATCAATGAATTTAAACGCTCTGAGTCCAAAGTAAAAGCTTGCAGAACCCTTCCCAGTTCCCAGGGTTCATGCTTCTGTTGCCAAACACATTAATTGCTTTCATTAGTAACATTAACTTCTTAACTATAAGTAACAATAATTATGTCATCCACCCGAATCTGAGGACCCAATCTCATTTTATTGAGACCCGGCACATGACTCTCGTCTTACTGACCCCACGAGGTTTGGTTCGCAGCCACCAGAGGAGTTATAGGGTCTGACAATTTCTTTTTTCTGTTTGGTTGG